TGGAAAGGGATATGATGGGAAATGAAAGTGATAATATTTTGTTTATGAAACTGAATTTTCAATGATGCTACTAAAATAATCCTTTCAAGAAAGGTATAAGGGACATATGAGAGAAATGAGGAAGTTGTTCTGTTTAGATGCAGATAAATAATCTGTTTAGTTTCTGGTAGGTTTAAACATATAATGCAATTCTTTCATCACACACATCAGAGAATTTGTTACAGGGTACTTTACCCTGCATTCATGGTCCAGGAATAAGTGTGGAGAAAGGTGAAGTAAAACTACTGTACTTTACACTGCTAGTGAATTTTTCTTCTCCTTTGAGTTTTTTTTAAATGGTAAAGATCTGAATTTGAATAGTACAATTTAGACAAAACAGATTACAAGTTGAAATCATTTCAGTAGTGAGGCTCTGGAGATAAATGTGTAGACATTTTAGCCTCCCCCCACCATATGCTCCTACTTTTAAAATCATGAAAGTCAAATAAAGTATCAACAAAGGGTTTTCGACTTTATTCATAAATTTTTCATTTAAAAACACTGCTTGCTTCTTCCAGGAACTGTCCAAGGTGCTGAATCATTCAGCCTTTCTGGGAAATTGTTTAGTATAATTAGTACGTTTATCTCTTCTAACGCAAGCTGTGATATTTGTCGAAGTCTATCTGAGAAAATTCTGTTATAGAGCAAGGATACATCAACTGTCTTATATAATAAGAAAATAAAATGTGTTTCTAATTGTTTTTGACAAAATTATTTGTAATTTAGAATTGAAAGTTAATATAAACTTCCCATTTTAAATAATTTTCTGACACATATAATTCTTAGAATGTAATGTCTATCATATGCAGTGAGCAGATATTTTAAAATTTCAACGCTTCTATTTATTATTTGGAGAAAATTTAGTTTCAAAATAATTCAAATTACTGTGAAATCATTGCTTTAATTGTTGAGTTCCTGCTTGGTTTTAGACTGAGTATAATTTTGGCTTCATAGGATGAAAAGTTTATTAATGGTTTCTCCCTTTTCTTTTCTTTTCTTTTCTCTTTTTTCCTTTTCTTTTTCCTTTTCTCTTTTAAATTCTTCGTATATCTCCTTTAGTTTGTAAGTCATTGATTTTTTTCTCTAATCATTATTATTCTTTTCTACCTCCTGCTTTTGTCCTTGGCATGGTATTGCTTTTCTAAAATGGTAAGCAACAGTAATTACAGATCTTTTTATTTTGTTGAGTAGTTGCTCATAGCCACAAACTTTCCTCTAGCAATTGTTTTTGTTCTGTCCAAAAACAATTGTGTCCAAACACAATACATTGTGTTTCATTTTCATTAAATTCTAGGAAGCTTTTTATTTATTCTCTAATCTCTTCAATGACATAGTCCTTGTTCAGCACAGTATTATTCAATGTTCTTGAGTTTGATTCTCATCTCCAGAGTTCCTGGGATTACTAGTGTGATCCATCATATTTCCCAAATTATTAATATGTTTACTAATTCCAACCATTGGAATAAATTCTACTTTAAGCCATTTCATTATTATAAAATGCTGAAAAATTTACTAATAACCTAACATTTCACTATGTTCATTCTTGAAAATTAACTTTCACCCAAGATTCATAGCAGTAAAGATATAAAAAAAAACCTGTGCTAGTTTATTCTTAATGTAGATTGACCCTAACTCAAACTATAAAGGATAATTGCCTTCAAAAGTGGATGTGAATTGAGATTTGTCACTTGAGGTGCTAGTGGCTTGGTCACATTCTTTAAAACACTTGTTAGAATACACAGCTATAATTATGGTATGTTCTTTTTTGGTGGTCTATCATGTGGCCGTAAAGGCTCTTTTTTTGGTAATGAAACTGCCAGGAAGTAGAAGGAAAGCAGATTACTTAGTCTTACAGAACTCACAGAAGCATCTGGTAAAATGGCAGGGTTTTCCTGTGTGCTCTAGGGATGATAATAACAGGTAGTAACACACAGACTCATGTTTCAGGAGTGCTTTGGACTCTTTTGCTTGTCAATTAAAGGAAAGGAGAAAAACCTATATGAGGATAAAGCCTTCAATTATATCCATGTGGATGTTGAGATGTAAGTAGTATATGGTACCCAGAGGAATAAAAAAATGAAAGTATAGAGGAAGTAAACACAGTCACTTCATGGAGTAAGTATACACTTAGAGTGATATAACACATGGTATATACAGTACATATAGGAATTCCATCTTATAAATACAACCATGCCAAATTGATGGTATAAACAAACATAAAAGTGTATTGTATTTGCAAACAGATTAAACTTATTACAAGTACTTGGAGATGAAGGTAAAATTTTGTTGTGTTTTTGAAGACATTATCATCTTTCAAAGTAGAATGGTATAAAGGTGATGCACATGGCTCTTTATTGGTAGTCTAGATTTACATTTGGGGCATCTTTCAGAGTCTGGATAAGATGAGTAAAAATAGTAAGCAGCAGAATTCATCTTTCATAGGTGCACAAATCCAGTGGATTCAAGGGCTGAATTTCTCAGTGGAATCCACAAGACCGTATCTGCTATAGCAAGCTGAGTGGCAGCAGCCATAGCCATACCCTCTATAAGCATGTTAGCCACAGCCACAGCCTAGCCCACTATAGCCACAGTTCCCATTGTAGAATGTTAGAATGTGGTGGTAAGAGAGGATGCTCAGATATGGAAGAGGAAGGAAGCTTCCCAAGTTTAAACATCACCATCTTCACAAGATCTCTTATAGTTCTGCAGTAGCGAGTGTGGCAGGTCACCAGCAATTTGGCCCTCCCTGCAACTTACTTTGGATAAACCACAAGCAATGCCAACAACAAAACTGTCATAAATTGTTTTATTTCATTTGGCATAGTGAAGCTTTTATAGCTAAGATTTATTTTTACAAACTGTATGCTTTGAATGACACAGATGTTTTCTTTAAACCTGGCCTTAAAGTACTTCCTCATTAAAAGCTCAATTTTAAATTCCATGAGATGATTGTAGAAACTATGGAAACAGCAACAGATTCAAATTATTCCTGGATTATTAATATTATTGGATTCACCTACTGAGTTTAAGTCATAAATATATGGCTTTGGGGGCCTAACTATAACCAGAGTTCTAATATTGTTCAATAAGTCTTTCCAGATACAATTCATCTTACTTTAAGTATATAAGGAAATAAGCATCTTTATAGGGCACAACTTTATAAATGCATGCACAAATTTTACTTTCTTGTATTATATCAGATTTTATCTTGAATCAGAATTTTTCTTTCTGAGAAGACATCGCTTCCTATTCCTTCCAGGAAAACACTAGATTCATGATTTTCTAGCTGTCAGATTTAAGCAAAATTGCATTTCAGATGTCTCGACTCCAGTGTCTACTGTGACTACTGTCACAGTAGCCTGTTGTTGATGAGAGGGCACAATTCTTGTCTTATGCTGACATTGGTGGATGACATGCAAATAGCAACTTTCTACTTTTATCATTGTCTGACATGTAGTTATACATTGTATAGCTCTTCAGTCAGAAAGGTATTATCTAGGAAATCTCTAAGTCTCCCTTTAGGTCCTGGGGTATATACCTGTTGAACTAATATTTACTAGGAAACTCACTAACACAGTTTTAATGAAGAACTTCTTGATCTCTCTACTTCAATGACATCCCTTAGGTGAGGACTGAAGCATATTTATGTTCTCTTATTCAACTCATCAATTTCCCACTAAACTTTTGTCCAGAGAAACAGCAAAGGGGTAGAATAAGCAGCAATAGAAACATTCTTCTGATACTTACTAGTCTAGTGCAACCATCAGTGTAAGAGTTTAAATATATACTGAATCTTTTGATCCTCAAAACTGTCTAGTGAGGTGGGTGTTACTTTTACCATTCCATCTGAATGTGGGGTAAACCCTGGCATGTGAAAATGTTCATTACCCAGTTGTAAGGAGTATTGGAAAGGTAGAGAACTCATTTCAAAAGTGTAAGTTCATCACTGTGTTCTACTGACTGGGAAGGAGTCATCTTACTAAGGGCAAAAGAATAATGGCTTGACATAGTCATTGTAGCTTGCACTTCATTGTATCAGACAAAGAGAGTTGCTTGAAGAAATAATTTTATTATCTGAGGCTTAAGCAAGAATTCCTTGTGTGTTGTGAAAATCTTCTAGATCTCATGAAAAGATATCTCTAATTCCTATTATTCTTATTACTAAAGAAAAAAGTATCTATCCTACATTCAGGCTAGAACACAAACATAACAAATATTTCAAAATTTAAAAGAATACATTTTATGTACAGTTTTACAAAAAAAGAAGAAATACATTTTGATGTTCTGCTCATGACTTCAAAATTTGAAATTAAAATGGAAATAAGGCAAAAACCAACATTTTTAAAAACAGAGTAAAATATAAAATTAGGTGTATATGCAACAGAAAAATGGTTTTATCAGGCCTGAGCAAGAGGTTCAAATTATTGCCTTGAAATTCAGTGATACGTCATCGATTTTAGCTGTAAAACTTTTGGTGTATGAAAAATGAAGGGAACCTTTGGTGGGGAAAATGGGGTTAACACAAAGAGAAGAGATGGAGAAGCTAAAGCTACAGGGAGACTGTGAAGATCTGCCACATGTCATCAAGAGCAATTTAAAATTACAATCTGTCTACAGCAAGTCAGAGTTTTCTTATTATACATACATGTCTTCCCAAACAGGCTGGTTACAAACAACAAATAGCTGGTCTTTGTAGTGGCTCAAGGATGAAACATGGTTTCTCATTAATGAACCACAGATGTTCACAGGTGACTAAAAAACAGGAAATAGCCTTAATGAATACAAGGCCAACTGTAAAACAAAGTCAACAGATTACTCAGATTGGTGCTGTCATTTAGCCAATAGCATGAGCCCATATTGAGCATCCCACCCACAGTGAGGACATATAAAAGGCCCTCTGCAGGGAGAACTCTCCAGACTCAAGTCACCTACACTCCTCCTCCACCCAAGGACAACTCAACCACCAGCACCATGTGTGGCTACTACGGAAACTACTATGGCGGCCGCGGCTATGGCTGCTGTGGCTATGGAGGCCTGGGCTATAGCTACGGAGGCCTGGGCTGTGGCTATGGCTGTGGCTATGGCAGACTGGGCTGTGGCTATGGCTGTGGCTATGGCTATGGCTCCCGTTCTCTCTGTGGCTGTGGCTATGGCTATGGCTCAGGCTATGGCTCTGGCTTTGGCTACTACTATTGAAGACAAGATGGGAGACCCTCATTCTCTCCAGCTATGACATCCAGATTCACCAGTTCTGACCCAGCATGCTGTGACACTTGGATACTGGCGATCTTGCAATAGAAGTATATTATGCTCTGCAGTTTACCAACGCGGGACTAACCAACTTCCTGTCATTTCTTCATAAAAGGGGGAATGGCGATACCTTAACACCTGTCACTTCTGCTCTCATCAAAGTGATGATGTCAGAAGAATGCTTTCAGAACTTCATGCTGGAGTGTGTTTCTCTGTTGAATTAATAAACTTGAATAATTTATAAAATAGTTTTAATCGATCATTTAGTGTTCAAAATTATATTTCTTATTTTGGTTGGTCTTCATAAAAGAACTATCTCTTTTCTTTTTTTCCTTTTATTGTGGTACTGGTTCTGGGGCTTGAATGTAGGGCTTGGGCTCTGTCCCTAACCTTCCCCCCTCCTCCCTCAAGGCTAGTGCTCTGCCTCTGGAGCCACAATTCCACTTCCAGCTTCTTTTTGGTAGTTCATTGAACATAAGGATTTCACAGACTTTCTTGTCTGGGCTGGCTTTGAGCCACAATCCATAGATTTCAGTCGCCTGAGTAGCTAGGATAACAGGTGTGAACCACCAGTGTCCAGACTATCTCTTTGGAAGTTATTTTCCATTACTTCTTGTAGATTTTGTTTCTTTACTAATTCAAGGATCAATTGCATTAGGAATACAACTTCTTTTTCTATACAAGTTCAATTTCTTTTTCTCCTTCTATAGAAATAAGTCAATTATGGCAGGGTAAGCATTTCAGGGCATCTAGTACATAAGAAGAAACTAAATTAATTGGCCAAATTGTTTGAAAATGTATATTCATGTCATGGCTATATTCTCTACTTTTAATATCCCATTTAAAATGCTGTCTTTTCTGTAATCTGAGGCATAATCTACTGAGTAATTTTAAAATTGAGTGTATTCTAGTAGATTATAACATGTTTGGTCTGAAGTGTAGGCTCAATAATTAGTGAAAAACTATTTCATTTATAGTTAGGGAAGCATCTAGGACTGGAAAGTTCTACAGTCCAACAATTCGAGATGGCGGAAGGGTTTGTGATCAGATCCTAGGTTTGGTTGGGGGAAGATCCACTTCCAAGCTCACTTCCTTGACAGCAGAATTCAATTCCTCACAATCCTTAATCTAAACAAATTTATTGTCTTGCTGGATGTTGTCTAGAGGCTTCTTTTGGCTTAGGCTGCCCACTGATTAGGTACCCAAAGATATATGCTTACTTTTCTCACAGTCCAAAATGGAAGAAAACATTTTGCAGCAAGGTGAGTGCTATAATCTTATATAACTGAACCACAGAATCACACATTATCATATACATTTTCAGTAGTCTACTGATTAGAAGTCAGCTGGGCACCAGTAGCTCATGCCTGTAATCCTAGCTACTCAGGAGGCTGAGATCGGAGGATCATGATTCAAAGCCAACCCAGGTAGCAACGTCTGTGAGACTGATCTCTAGATAACCATGAAAAGCCAAAAATCATATTAACTGAAGTAAACCAGATCCAAAGAAATATAAGTCCCATGCTTTCCCTTATTTGCAATAATTAGTATATGTCTAGGATAATCTTATCAGATAAGAAGAAAAGTTCAAAAGCTATGTACATATGACCATATAAGATGATGCTGTTTATGATTTTAAAATTAAATGGTTCAGTTTAGAAATTGTTCTCCCTCAGAAATGTTCTACTTCATCTAACTTTAAAGTTTATATACATATAATATTGAAAAACACTCTCATTTGATATGCCAAATTTCTTGTGCGTTAATATTTATTTCCATCATGTTTTTAAATGTTTTAATTATTCCTCCCTTTTGTTCTTGACTAAGTTATTGAGTAGCTTATAAGCTTGAGTTTTCAACTCAAAATATTGTGTCTCATTATTTTCGACTGTTTTTGTTCTTTACCACAGCTATTTTTGCTATTTTGTTTATTGTTTCTATTCTGATACATCTTTAGTTTTATTTGTTATTATCTTTTATATATGTTTTTATTGTAAAATATTGTACAGAGGGGTTACAGTTACATGAGTAAGGTAATGAGTCCATTTCCTATCAATCATTGTTATCTCCTCCTTTGTTTTTCCCATCCATCCCTTCCCTGCTCAACTCTCCATCCCCCCCCCCAAAGTTCTAAAGTTCATTTTCTTTTCTCTTTTGTTTTTTTCCTTTCTTTCTTTTTTTATTGTGAAAATACTGTACAGCAGGGTTGCAATTACAGCAGGCAAGATAATGAGTACATTTCTTATCAAGCATTGTAGCCTCCTCCTTTGTTTCCCCTTCCCATCCCACCTTCCCTCAGCCCCCCCCCCAATCCTCCCCGTTCTCCTCCCTCCCCTCCCCCCTCACCAAAGTTGTAAAGTTCGTTTTCGACATAATGACTTATACATCTCATTGTGGCAATGGGTCCACCTCTATCCCTATTTAAATGATTTATTTTTCCCCTTCCCCTCCACAAATTATACTGACATAAACCTGCTTTCACTGTAGTTGATGTCAGTAAAGTTCGTTTTTAACATAGTGTCTTGGACATCTCATTGATACAATGGGCCAATCTTATACTTATTTCAGCATTTTGTTATTTCCTTTTTCCTCCACAAATTATATGCAGAGCACTGGAATCAAATACAGTAAAAACAGGGACTAGTCCATGGAGGAAGAACATAAAAAGAAACAAAAAAAACTCTACATAGTACTTTATAAATACATTAGAAACAATAGCAAGAAAGAAAAAAAACCACTTGTGTCCCCTATCTTGGGGTTCACTTCACTTAAGATTATCTTATATGGGCATATGTACATAGCTTTTGATCTTTTCTGCTTGTCCTAGACATATACTAGTTATTGCAAATAAGGGAAACCATGGGACCTATGTTTCTTTGGGCCTGGCTTTCTTCACTTAATATAATTTTTTGCATACTTTCCATTTCCTAACAAATGGGGCAATGCCATTCTTTCTGATGGAGGCATAGAATTCCATTGTGTTTGTGTGTGTGTATGTATGCCACATTTTCTTGATCCATTCATCTACTGAGGGGCATCTGGGTTGGTTCCATATCTTAGCTATGGTAAATAATGCTGCAATCAACATAGTTGTGCTGGTAGCTTTAGTATGGTCTTGTTTGTGATCATTTGGGTAAATGCCCAAAAGTGGGATTGCTGGGTCATAAGG